CCCCAAATCTACTTTTAATTCTATATGAGAACCAAATAAAAGATGGCCTAGAACCACTCTTTATATTGTAAAGATTATCCTAACCTCAGAAGAGCATTAAATCTTCATCATTTATTGAAAGTTCCAATTGCCATTGATTGGTAGGGGTTTGCCAAAATTTCTTAGTCCTTATTTGAGCTCACCAACAAAAGAGCTGAGTTCAGCAATTACCAGGCCTCCCAACAGTTGTGAGAGGGAGAAAGACAGCTCTTGTGCAAAGAGATTCCCTCCTCTGAGCTGAGATTTATGTCTGTATAGGCTCAGGCTGGGTCAGAAGCAGCCTCAGGGTGGACACCACATAACCTCCCATCCCGCTAAACTCTGCTATGCATCATTTCCATAGAAATCTGTTAGCTCAAATATTTTCCTTCTTATTTCCACACGTCTATTTGAGTACTTGCTGTTATATTGCAATTGGCAGCCTCCTTTATGAGTATCAAACAGAGCAGGGCAGCCTTCCACCACAAGAGCAGAGATTTCCCAGAAAATTATGAAACCTTCACGATCACCCCGAAAATTGTGCTGCATTATAAAGACCTGTCAATACCATGAACCACAGGTGAGTAGTTCCTGGAATTGCTCGAACAGTAAATAAAAACATTTAAAAACACCTGAAAGGAAGGGACAAGAGGCCTTTTATCATAACTCCATTACAAAACCCTAGAACACAAATGCATTCAGTTCCAAGTAAATTTCTTTTCATGCTTAAGAAAGGAATGAGAAGGAAGAGAGTTTAAATTTCTTTACAGTTTCTTCTGTAGTGGAATGTGTAATACTTGGTCATCACTACTGAGCATACTGGCTTTTATGCAAACAGGAAGTCAAACCTCATAAAATGATGTTACTGTTTTACAGTTAAACAATGCTGTCACATGCCTAACCCTGTGGAGGGAAATTATTCAGTTGAATTCTCTCTCGTTTCACCATAAAAATTGGCAAAATGTATAGAACTTGCTTTACATCAGGGGGACCCTCTGAGCCTTCTGCACCTTTTAATCATATAAATGTAGTCAACTCTCAAATGTCTAGTATTAATAATCAGCTTGTGAATTATACGCATTGTGATGTTCTTTTCCCCTTCTCTTAGTTTTTGCTGTTGTTTGTTTCTGTTTTTGCTTGATGGCTTGGCTGTGCTTTGGTGTCTCCAGAAATGGAGTAAAAACAAATAAAACACAAAACAGCCTTTTTGGGGTTTTGGGTTTTTTGTCTGTTTGTTTGTTTCTTTATTAAAGCCTAGGTTAACGCAGTCTCTAGAGAATCTTGAAGTTTCAACCAGTTTCAGTTAGTCAGGCCTTCCCCACGGCCCTCCATCTTCCTGGCCTCCAAAACGAACTCGATTGCCACGAATGAGAGTTGACTGAAGAACTGGCAGAATGGCATCAGAAAAAAATAGCATTACCTGAAACATGGGGACTAGTTACCCTTAATTCTATGTCACACTTTTTCATGTGTATTACCTCCTTTGCTTTCAGAGTGAGACACACCAATGCTGAATTCCAGAGGGTAACGCAAGGGTAAATGTCAGGGCTGTGATTTGTACTCTATCGCAAAGCCAGCTCTCTTTCCTTACCCCCGTGCTGATTCCTTCTGGAAATGAACAACAGCAGCAGTAAATATCAAATCAGCAAGTGTGTCTGAAGGTCTCTAGGTATATCAAATTTAGTTTTGTTGATCTCTCAGATCCCGAAATCTTGATCTAGTCTCCAAATCAAAGTTTATTTTTCCCCATTGTTATAATTGTGTTTTCACATATTATCTCAAATATGTGTTGGTAAGAACATACTAGAAAGCCGTCTTCAATAGTGAACTTTCATTTTCCAAATAATGTTTAGTCAGATAATATGCAGCAGAGTTTCTGGGAGATTAGGTGCCTTCTATCTTGAATTTAAGGGGTGAATTTGGGTCTCTCATCAAAAGTGTATTTTCTTTGTTTTTTTTCTTAAAGATTTATTTATTTATTTTGAGAGAGAGTGCACACACACATGTGTGCACGGGAGGTTGGTCTGTAGGAGGGGGAGAGGCAGAGGGAGAGGGAGAGAGAATCTCAAGCAGACTCCCCGTTGAGTGTAAAGCCCAATGCGGGGCTCAATGCCACGACCCTGAGATCATGATCTGATCTAAAATCAGGAGTTGGATGCTTAACTGACTGAGCCAGCCAGGTGCCCCATAAGTGTATTTTCAATAGGTCTCTTATTAATTTATAATTCATGAGTTTTGCCAACTGTAGTATATGAAACCCCCCTCCCTTCCCCTGGAGTAAAGGAAAATGTCATTTTAATACAAAGACGTGATGCTAACAGTTGCCATTTTAATACAAAGACATGAAGCTAACAGATACTTATAGAATTTGACTTTCTTTCATAATGACATTTTAACTTCATTTATTGTTTTAAAGTTAAAATTAAACCATTTTTAGAGATGCCAAAAGTTTTAAGGCAAATGATTTTTGGAAATGATTTATAGGATAAAGTCAACATATTCTTATTTCCACTCGTTAAAAAATTTTATAGATTGTGAAGTCAAAACATACTATTTTTATGGAAAGAATTAAATAGGAGAGTGTAGTTTCCCAGAAAATGATAGTTGAATAATGAAATAATTAGTCATTTAGCTATAGAGCTGCTTTTTAAAAAATCACAGAAACTAACATTTGTGTAGTACTAAACCATCATTTAAATTATAATATTTAATCTTCACAGTTACAAATGGGGAAAACAAGGCTGAGAAGGATTGAAAAACTCTAAGTTCACACAGTCCATAACTGCTGGTACCATTTCTCAATCCTACATCTTGGCCCAGGTTCCACTCTACTATATCCTTCTGACTCTTACTCTTTCCTCAAGATAAGGAAATTAGGGCCAGTGGCCAAGAAAGAAAAATCCTGTGAGATAAAATGATTCAGTGTGGTACATTTCTCTCAGAATTGGGCATAGATTTCAGTTACAATATCTCATCCTCAAAAACACTTATCATTTGGAAATATTTGTATAAAGTGCACTTGTGACTGATAAAATGAAAGCAGTTGCCAAATCTGTTTTTAATGCACACATATTATTGGAAAACATAGGAATTACCATCTTAGGAGGGAGGACTGAATTCCAACTAAATCTGAAAGGAAGAAGGAAGCACCAAGCTGGTGGTGCATTTCTCATTCCCAGGATAATGTCCTGATTAATGTGCCTGTGTTGAACTGAGAAGTAAGTACTTGCAAGTGTATTTACCGAGTTTGTTTTCAAGTGTGAAATTCATGAAATTCAAATATATTTATGAGCACATAAACACATTTATGTCTACCAAGGATTATTCAAATTAAGTATAATTCCTGTAACCCTGGTTTTAACCCCTCTCTCTTGCTTCAAGACCTTGGGTTCCCTTTAAATTATTGTTCAATCTGGCTGAAGGGCTGAAGTATTCCTATGGTGAGTTGCATGTGTCTAGTACTACCTTATCCTCCCATGTTTGCCAATTTCCTCCTCTCCTGACCAGGGCCCCTGAGGTGGGGAGGTATCTTCTTGACATCCCGCTGCTTGCTAGGGTGAGAGCCTCTCACCCTAATCCTGCTGTTGGTCAGAGGCAAAAAGACTGAGGTTCCTCACCAAGTCCTGTCTTCTGATGTCACCACCAGAAACATCCATGCTGGGACTGCTCATGTTTTGGAGATCACAAGCTAGACAATGACTCCCAGGGGAAAGATCTCAAGGCTCCTCAGTGATCCTCTCTCTACTGACTTCCTCCCCAAGGAGGAGAAATTATGATAGATCGATCAGTTTCCAGCCCATGATTTGGGCTACATTTTTTATGGGATGGTATTTTAAAGAAAATAAAAATACAAGCCCTTTCATCATAATTTCTTTCCTCCTTCCCTCCAACCAGCTGAGGTAGTCTAGCCAAAGTGTCAGCCATTCTCCCTCTCCTGAGATGTCATTTTGACCCATTTGGCATCTAGACAGAGTTACTACCAACTGGGCTCTAGGCAGGAGGGCAGACACTTTCTCTTGGTCTTTCTCTTTGACTCCTGCTCTTCTGGTATTGCTGGGTATGCTCTGAGTCAACCTAACCTACAAGTGGTAGGATCTGCCACTTACTAAAGGAAGCCAACACTTTCTCTCTCAGGTCTACTCAGGTATGTTAGTTTTCTACTGCTGCATAACAAATTACTACAACCTTAGCACCTTAAAGTAATATCCATTTATTGTCTCACAGTTTTTAGGTCAGACCCCTAGGAAGGCTCAACTGGGCTCTCTGTACGGGGTCTCACAAGGCTAAAATCAAACTATTGGCCAAATTAGGTTCTTATTTGGAAGCTCTGGGGAAGAATCCACTTCCAAGTTCTTGCAAGTTGTTGGCAGAATTTAGTTCTTTGTGGTTCTAGGACTGAGGTTCCCGCCTTCTTTTCAGCTATTACCCAAGGGTCACTTTAATTCCTAAAAGTCTGCTTACAAATCCTTCTGTCTCCAACTCCCCAACCCAGCTCTGCAGTGAATCTATCTTTTGTCAAATCCATCTTAAACTTCAAATCTCACTGACTCCTTCTTCTACCATCAGCTGGAGAAAACTTTCTGTTTTTAAAAGGCTCATGTAACCAGATTGGGCCAATCTGGAGAATCTCCCTATCTTAAGGTCAACTGATTAATAACCTTATTTGTATCTCTAAAATTACCTTGCCATGTAATATAACATAATTAGGATAGTTACACCTTATATTAAGACCACAGGGACTCATTTTAAAATGCTGCTTACCACACAAGGTATTTTGAGGAGGCTTACTTCAACTCTCACCGCCTGCTTCTTCTGAACCCCTAGTCTCCACCCACCTCTTCCTCACACAGCTTTGTCCCATCCTGAACGCTTTCTCTAAATTCATCAATAATACAGCAAATAAAAAACTCTTGTATGTGATGCACTTTACTACCAGTGGGGATATTAGTATGAGATTATACCAGAGCATAAAAATACCAAAGTAGTTTAAATAAATATGAGACAGTACTAAACTTTCTTCCTGGTCAAATCCTAGTACTTGGTTCATGACCATTTTCTCAGGGTCAGTTCTTCTTCATAAAGACCTTTTCTTCCTTCTTCCATGCTCTAACTATCTATGACTTCTTTAGAAGTCAAGGTTACAGTTTGTCACCTACCCAAATTATCCAGATTTACCCAGGCACACATTCTGGAGCTTTCTTCAGCAAAAGACCCACCAGCCAAGTCCTCATTCTCAATAATGGTCTCCTTCCCCGCTACCTCACCTCCAGTAGAATATAGAAAGGGTTTTTTTTTTTTTCAAAAACTTTATTCTAGCCCTGTATACAGCAAAACACTAGAAATAGTAGATTTTTTGATTTGTTTGTTTTCTTCCATGTAAAGAAACTCACGATCAGTCCCACCAGTGTCTAAGTGGAGCAGTGCAAGCTGACCTCGTGCACCAAAGCCTCATGTTTGCCAGAGACCTGGAAAATCCCTCTCTATACCCTGGTCCTCTATCATGTCCCCTGTAGCACTGCCTTATGACCTGTGTTTGCACTTCACGATAAAATAGTTCTCTCATTTCTACTTGGAGGCCTCTTTCTTTCTAGAAAACATGTGGGTCTTTTAGATCCATATATGGGTCTCCTGACATGGAGAAGAAAACTGACAGACATGATATCCTACTTCTCCTCACAACAGAGGCTTGGTGGGGCCCTTTGGTGGGACCTCTTCCTTAACATGTCTTTCTACACAAGAGGTTTCCCCAGTCCCTCATGTAAACCAGCTCCTGGGGGTGCCACATGGCAGCCAACCAAGAATTCACAAACATGCCTGAAATGCTGCTAAGACCACAGACTATGCTGGTTCTGGGATCACCTACACAGAGGAATTTGCAAATTGTTCTTTTCCTCATGTACCTAGACATACAGTCTTTTAATCCCAGCATGTAAGTGCTTTACCAGTTTTATTGGTCAGATTTGCAATTGCCTCTTTCACTTCTGGTTGAGGTCAGAGTGTTAAGTTTTATGGGTTAAATATAAGAGACTCACTGTTCCTTCTTGTTTTTCTTATCATAAAGAGTACAGTCCTGGAGTGGCAGAACTTAATGAATCGGGTCTTTAGACTGACATCCAGACCAGCACCTGCTGGTAGCTGGAAGCGACACCGCTGTAAACCTTCTACCCCATGCTCAGGCGGGACTCACACTGGAGCCTGTTAACACACTACCCTTTAAATGGATGATAAATAGTCTTTTTATTTTTATAAGGTGTTGTAGATCAGAATCTTGTTTTCCACATGTTGATTTCATCTGTGCTATCAACTCTAAATATCAATAACAATAGAAAACCCATAGTGAGTTGCTTTGTGTGTGTGTCTTTTTATTGCAACAGCAAAGATTTACATCTTTTATCTGCCCTAGCCATATTATGTTAATACCTAAAATAAACATTGGAACTGGATTCCTTCTGAAAAGTCTTGCATAGGCCAGGGAAGAGAAAGAAACTGACAGACATAAAATTAGATTCTTTCATCACAGCAGAGGCTCTGGTAGAGTGGCCTTTCCTTTACCATATTTTTCTACCCATGAGGTTTCCCCAGTCCCTCTTGTAAGCCAGCTTCTGGGAGAGGGGCACCTAGCACCCTGTCAAGCACTTACAAACATGCCCGAGATGCTGCAAATGACACAGACTATCCCCATTCTGGGATCACCTACACAGAGGAATTTTCAAATTGTTCTTTATCCCCTTTATCCCAAGTGGGAAACCAAAGGCCTGCAAACTCCAGAAGTATGATCTGACAAGCCTCACCTGTCATAAACATTGAGGGATTGAATAGTTGGCTTGACATTAAGAAAATCTTTTCTTTTTTCAAATCAGCAAAATGTGAAATTCTTTCCTTTGTTAGTCTCTAAATGAAATACATGTAAGAAATGTGACAGTTACTTCTTCAAAATCTTCAAAATAAAGTGTGGTGATTTTTTTTAGAGACATTGTCTTTTAAATAAGTTCAGATAAAGACAGCCTGCAAGATAACTAAAAGGATGTGCTATTCAATCCCAGGCAGAAAAATTATAGTACAATCACTATTGCTTTGAGAAAATGCTCATGAAAAATATTTTTACAACAAAAATTTTATCACTGTGTAAATAAGCATGAGATTTTATAAACAAAAATCCCTCAAATTAAATTTCTTCATTAAAACACAATCATTTTCAGGATTCATATAAATCTTCATATAGGGAACTTATTCTACACGATGAAAATAGTAGTTTCAATGTTGCAATGACCCCAGAATTTATTCTGAACAAATTGATTAAGAACAAAAATATGTATTAGTGTTTTCTCTGTACCAGGGACTGTGATAGGTGCTGTGAGATACATTATTTTATTTAAGCCTCACAAAATCACAGCAAAATATGTATGTATGTATGTATTTATTTATTCATTTGTTCAGTCAACCAAGATTTTATTTATTTCCTGCTATGCACCAAACACTACTCAAGTTAGTGTGTATCAGTGAAGAAAGTAAATATCTTTGCACTCAAGGAGCTTACATTCTAGTGGTGGAAGAGAGAAAATATTAAATAAGCATATGTAATATACATATAACTTATGTAATATATTAAGAAGGGCCAAATGTATGGAACAAAGAAAAATATAAGTAAAGGGGATTTGGAAGGTAGAGAATAGTTTGCCTAATAAAATAGCATGATCAGAATAGGCTCATTGAGAAGGTGATATTTGGTCAAAGCCTTGAAAAAGATAAAGAAGTCAGCTATAAGATTATCTGTGGGAAGTTTCTACAGGCACTGGGCATAGCTCACAAGAGATCTTAAGTCAAAAGTGTAACTGTCCTGTAAGCATAATAGCACGATGCCCAGTATGGCTGGAGGGAAGTAAACAAGGTGAAGAACAATGGGAGATGAAGTCAGCGTGCCATGTAGGGTCTTGTCGGTCATTACAGGGACTTTTTTTCTGAGTAAAATGGGGCACAGTTGCTGACTTTTAAGGAGAGGAGTGATATAATCAGATTTACATTTCAAAAAGATTCCTCTCTTTACCTTATAAAGAGAAGACTATAGCTAGGTAGCCAAAGGAAACAGGGAGCCAGAGAGATGAGATTAGAAGCTATCATAACGATTCATGCAGAAATGAGGGTGGCCCTGACCAGCATGGTAACCTTTGTAAGGAATCGCCGATAGAATTTCATGCCTGACTTGATTTTAAGGGTGAAAAGTGGCATCAAGGTTGACTCTAAAGTTTTGACCTAAACCATTATCATGACATAGTTGTTTGAATTGAGATGGGAAAACTTGTACAAGGAAGAGATTTAGAGGTAAAAATCAAGGACTTTGGTTTTGGACATGTTAAAAGTACTGAAAATTACATTGGAAATTCCACGGATGCAGTTGGATATACACGTCTGGAATGAGGAACAGGGCTGGGCTAGAGATGAATTCTGGGAGCCACTGGGATATAGATACTGTTCAAAGTCTTCAGTCTAGTTGAGATCGTCAAGTGAATCCCACAAATAAAGCATATGACCAAGATCTGGGCCCTAGGGGCCTAAAAGGACAAGAGGTGAGAAAGCAGAGGAATCATCAAAGAAGGCTGGAAGGAGATAGGAGGTTAAACCATGAAGATGAGCAGGGAAGTATGGTGTTCTCAAAGTAACCTGAATGCAATGAAGAACACTAGCTACATGTGGCTCAAAAAGTTTCACAATTATATTAAATTTTGTAAAACTAGTAGGTAGTAGAAATTGGATTTAAAAACCAGCTGTTTGACTTCAAATCCAGGTAGTTTTCTCCAAGCACTAGAATCCTAGAGTATAAGCTATATTTGTTATACGCATTTAAAAAAGATACAAACATGAGTTACAAGAGAGAAGTGTTTTCTTGTCTTCAACAAGAAACTCAAACCAAATTGAGGCCAGAAAACTGAGGGCAATTCACTGATTATTGAGAGTGACCCATTGATGATTACTTAATATGAACTCTTTGTGTACTTTTATCATACTTTAAAATGGTTTCTTATCATGGCTTACCGATTATTCTATTTAAAATCAACTAAGACACATTTAAAAATATATTTTAAGAACCCTTAAAGTGGAGAGGAGACAAAATATATAGTAGAAAACAGAAAAGGTGAAAGATATGGTAAAAAACTGCTGTGGTACACTAACTGGACTCGACTTCAGAGAAGTGGGTAATCTAGTTGAAATACTTGACTAGAAACAGAAAGGGCTTGAGGAGATCTGAATCTTCAGGTCTCTATGACCTCTCTTCCATTTTAACCAAAAAAGCATCACTGATATCTGTTTTATACACCAGGCTGCCTGGCAAGGTTTTTTTTTTCTTTTCCTAACGAACCTCACAAACAATTTTTACTAATCCAATTCGTTATTTTACCAATAGAAAAAAAAAAAAACAACTGAGGACCGAAAGGTTCTGTGACTCATGCAATATCATGGCTATTAATAGTTGGGCTGAAACTCAGTTCAATCTTAGGATCCCAAATCCAGGGTGTGTGTGTGTGTGTGTGTGTGTGTGTCTACTTTCTTATCAACTTGATGGAGAAGTAGGGAAACCCTACACTTTTTTTTTTTCTTTTGAAAGATACATACAACATTCTTACTGACTGGCTAAGTAACATCCATGTTTAGATTTTTGTTAAAAGCAGCTATTGAGTAAACTCAGGAAAGTATCCAATTTACGCGAAACTATGACCTCTGCATTATACTGTCTAATAAAGCATCGCCCCCTCAGCATGGCAGAAACCTCAGAAGTCCATCTCAAAACCTGTATGGGAAGCTCTGGGCACCAGAGTGCCCAGCCCAATTCTATAGTCACTAGGGCTTGCCACAGTAATGGAATGCTGTAGGAAAACATCACCGTCGGTGCCTCTCAGACTCTCGAATTCTTTGCCTCCCTTTTCCTTTCACCATTTCTGCTTCAGAGCAGCTGACTCCTGCTAATAGTAATAGCTAATACTTTTCAAGTCTTATTATATGCTAGGCACCACTCTGTGTTTTCTATATATCCTTTATTTAAATTCACCACAGCCTCATGAGGTTAGTTTTAAAAGCACTTGTAGCTTAGAAGTGAGGAAACCAAAGCAAAGTGTGAAGGAACTTGCTCAAGCTCTCATCACTGGAATTCAAATCTGATATTCTAATTCGAAAGACTGACATTTAACCAGTATGTGCATGTGGGAACAGTCCTGTTCCTCCTGAGCCCTACCACATGCTTCATGTTTTCTGAGTTACTTCTTGCTAAGGATAATAGCTTTGTTTTTTATAGGACTTCATACTTTGATATTTTCCCTAGGCATCACATCACAAAAATAGGCATTAAAACTCTTGCTATATAACTCATTCCATCCAAGCCTTTCCTTGACTATATAGCTAATCTGAGAAACCAATATGAGGGAAGTTATTAATATTTATAATGGGATAATGTATAATTCCCCTACTTTGCACTTACCCTTTATTACATTTGAAAAGAGCCTTTACCTAAACCAAACACAAAATAGCTGTGGAAAATTTAGGCTCCAGGATAAGATTGAGAATGAATATAGTTCTGATTTTGCCAATCTCAAATTACACCATCTGAACACACATATCTGCTATCTGTGAGGAAGGTCATATCCTAAAAGCACTCAATTTATAAACCATTCAAATTGTATTCTCTAATTGGTCACTATAGGAGATTGCAACCGGGATATTTCCTGTACCTCAGTGTATCGTCTCGTGTGCAGAGAACTAACACTGCCCCCTCCCTCCCATCCTTCTGGAAAATGATCTTCCCCACACTGTTGATTATAGGCTTTCTGTTGTAACTGTCATGGACTTACGTGACTGCCTCCTTAGCCACTCAGATGGTGATGGTTGATTGGCCTAGATTGCCTGATTCAGCAAGAGTCCTATCCTAGGGTTTTCGAATTTGGGTACATTATGAGTCACTCTTAGTGTCATTCTGTTTGCAAAGCTGGGAGAGGTCTGTTTTGGTAGCTACGCCGTCATAACACCTACTGTGTAGAGAACTTGTGTCTGAAAAAATAAAGCCAATCTGGAAAGAGAATCTAAACTGAGGGAACTGGTAGATTCTGGCATCTTTCAAATGACTGAGGCCAGCCACACCCTTGCCGTCCTACAAGTAGGAAGCAGGATACAGAGCAGCCAGAACAGGACCTGCCCAGGAGAGTCCCGTGCTAGACCCCCTAGATCCATCCCTCCCTGAGTTTTATGTGGAGAAAAACTGTAGCCAGAAGCTGAAAGAATTTTCTTTTTACGGGGAAAACTTTGAAACCTCGAGTTATGAGTGTGGGGGGGTGGGAAAGAGGGGCAGCCACCCCAGTTACTCCTGAGAACCATATGGTATCTGTTTAGCACCAGTTTGTCAAGTCAGAGTCAAGTCATTAGTGGCTTGGGCAATTGCACCATTGGAAAGGACACCAGAACCTTCATCGTTGATACTGACAGCAGGGGTCAGAGAGAACGAGAATGTAATTGTTATTGGAATCCTGTGAAATGTCTCAGGGACTCAGGAACTCAGAAATAATTTTGTGAAGTTTCAGGATGGAGAGTAATAAGGCGTCAGTGGTGGAAAAGCTCCTTTAGTGACCGTGAACAGCGTCACGCGAACACGAGTCATTAAAACACATGTGACACGTTAGCTCCACCCAGAACTAGTCAAACACAGATTAAGCTAGTGCAATTTCATTTTCTATTTTTAGAAATATTTTTTTCATAAAATGACATAAATCAGGGTTTAAAAAAGGTTAAATTGTATAGAAGGGTTCATATATACAACAGTATTAACTTCCCCAAGTTTCACTTCTCAGAAATCATCATTTTTAAAAATTTTTGTCTTTCCTATATTTTTAAATGGTATCTTTATGCAATTACTTATTAATGTATCCACCTTTAACATAATTTATTGATGGCTTGCTATGATTCTCCTTAACTCCTTCCTCTCCAACCTCCTAGTATATGGCTTCTCTGTTGGTAATCTTGTGGCTTTAAAAAATATACTGAAACTGCTGTTTCTTTTTCCATCATTATTGACAGTATATTGTAACCCCTTACTTCTTCAGATGAAGATATAAATGCCTCCAAACTGCTATTCTCTAACTTTTCTTATGCTTCCCACATTCTGGCAGGTTTACTGTTACTTTCACTTGATCTTAGCCAAAAGGCCGAGAAGCGATTTTACTGTTACTTTCAAGTCATCAAGGATGGTAACAGTTTGTCTGGGTTTGGAAATTAGGATTGAAAAATGTATTTTTCCTCTCATGTCATGACGGTATTGTTTCCATTCTTTTCTGGTATCCTGTGTTGATAAGAAATTGAGTGCTACATTAATTCTCATGCTCTTTAAGACTTTTTTTTTTTTTTTTTAGATCAGTTTTAGGTTCAAAGCAAAGATACAGAGCTATCCCATATACTCCCTGCCCCTACCCATGCATAGCCTGCCTCATTACCAACATCCCCCACCAGAGTAGAGCATTTGTTAAATTGATGAACCTACATTGATACATCATTATCATCCAAAGTCCATGGTTTAAACAGTTCACTCTTGGTGTTACACATTCTATGGCTTTGGACAAATGTGTAATGGTATGTATCCATAATTATAATGCAAAGTATTTTCACTGCCCTGAAAATCCTCCATGCTCTACCTATTCACCCAGATTGTCTTCTTTCACTTATATGGATTTTAGGCTCCTCTGTGTCTTTTCATGGCTTGATAGCTCATTCATTTTTAGTGCTGAATAATATTCCATTGTCTGGATTTGCCACAGTTTATTTATTCACTTACTTCCTTGAGGTTGCTTCCAAGTTTTGGCAATTAAAGCTGCTATAATCCATGTGCAGGTTTTTGTGTGGTATTAAATTTTTAATTTCTTTGGTGATACCAAGGAAACTGATTGCTGGATTGTATGGGAAAAATATGTTTAGTTTTGTAAGAAACTGCCAAACTGTATTCCAAAGTAGCTGTACCATGTTTCATACCCACCAGCAATGAATAAGAGTTCCTGTTGCTCCATGTCCTTGCCAACATTTGGTGCTGTCAGTGTTCTGGCGTTTGGCCACTCTGATAGGTACGAAGTGATATATCATTATTGTTTTAATTTGCATTTCCCTGACGACATGCTGTGGAGCATCTTTTCATGTGTTTATCTGTCATCCATAAATCTCTTCTGTGAGGCCTATTGTTTAATGTTTGTCTTTTTTCTTATAGTTGATTTTTAAGTTCTTTGTTTATTTTGGATAACAATTCTTATCAGATATGTTTTTTGCAATTATTTTCTCCCAGTCTGTGGCTTATCTTTACTTGACAGTGAATTTTGAAGGGCAGAAATTTTTAATTTTCATGAAATTTTCGATTTTCATGAAGCCCAGCTTTTCAATTCTTTCTTCCATGGATCAAGACTCTGTGTTGTATCTAAAATGTCATTACCAAGCCCAAGTTCATCTAGATTATCTCCTTTGTTATCTTCTAGGTGTTTAATAATTTTCATTTTACATTGAGGCCTGTGATGCAGTTTAAGTTAATTTTTGTGAAGGGTGTAAGGTCTGTGTCTGGATTCATTGTTTTGCATGTGAATCTAGTTGTTCCAACACCATTTAAGGTCTGTGCTCAGTCTACTGTATTGAAATCCTACCCTAATTTAAAATATTAAATGTTTTAAGATAGTAGAAAATAATTACCATGCAGGCTTTGTCTCTTTTCAAGGCTTTACCATGATCCTTTTTTGTTTTGTAAATTGTGAGGTTTAATAATAAGACATGTGAAGGTGCTGGGCCGGTGTGTCTTATGGGCACTTAACAGTTCACTGGAGACCCATAGTCTACCCCAGGCAGAAGACATGCCTCTAGAGAGACATTTCCCAAATTTGTCTACAGAAAATCTATATCTTAGAATGTTAATAAGTGTTTCTTGAGAACATAGAATATGTGATTTTAAAAAATAAATTACATATTTTAATAGATCCTTTTTAGTCACTTAATTTTTTTTTATATTTAAGGTGGTTCAAACACATCTTGAAGATTGTTTTGCTGAAAAATAGGGGTTCATAATCAACTTATACTTGGGATATAGCTCTTATTTTAACAAAGTCTAAATACTTGATAAAATTAATTTATCTCTATTTTTATAGCCAAGATGTAAAATACAACAATATGTGCAAAATCATCTTCTCTCATTAATTTATTCTTCCTCTGCTGTGTCCTGATTAAAAGGATCTTATCTGAGGTGCCCAAGTGATTTCTGTTCTCTTCTTCAGCCGATGCAGCCACAGTTACCTTCCACTGGGACGGGCATTGCTCCTTCAGCATCTTTTCAGGTACCCCTTGTACTCCAGAGCCTCAAAAATCCACAGAACCTTTCCTATTTGCCCAACATTTTGAAAACACAGTCAAATCCTCATAACAAAGATGCCATGGCAGCTACTGAAAATTTAACTACTAATTCCCTAAGTAATATTTATCGAGTAAACATGCTATGCCCAGAGCTCAGGTGAACATGCTTTGCTATGCTATACATAATACCAGTACATCATTTAGTACAACTTGAATTTAGTCATAGTCCCAGGAGAGAGTTAGTGCTATATATAAAGAAATGGGAAGGAAGAGAAAAATCAGAAAAGAAAAAATCAATATCTTTGATCAGACTTTACCAGTTATGATCATAAAGCTCAGCTAGGAAAACTCTTCCATCAAGGGGTGAATGATTGACTCCCATCTTTCCCACACCTTGAGAGTAAATCCATCCTACATACACACTTTTGCCTCAGAAACTGTAATTGGAAAAAACAAAACAAAACAAAATAGTGTTTTCTTGGAAAAATTTAAAATATCTTTCCCAGTTTTTCTTTTCTCCTTTATATATTTGAACCTCAAACTATCCTTTCACATTTAAATTATGTCCCTGAATTGTTGGGGCAGTCTACTGACATTGTCTTCTCCTTCTGAGCTGAATACCTTGCACACTATGTAGGCATTTCTCCAAGCTGTGATTGTGCGTTTCCTGGAAAGTTTGCTTCTCCCATAGGAAGGGATGCCTGATAGGGGTTCTGCAGGAATGGATCTAGTAGAAAGAGACAGATAATGGTTTGAACAAATAATGCAATTTACCAAGATTGTTGTTACTTTTGGGCTTTGCTGTGGACAAAATTTGGGAGAACATGTTTGTTTGGCTTTTAAGATGTGTTTATTCTAATAGTTCCAATTAAAATATAGCATTATATAATTTTTAATTAAATTCTTTGATTTTATATTTGTACCTCTTTACTTTTATACTGAAAATCTTGGTTCTAATAATATTAACATATTATGTATTATTGTAATTATTTAATTATTCTATAATTTACATAAAATAGCTTTCTAATACCAAATTACTGAAGAATTAAACTATTGAGTGAAATTTACAGCTCTGTATATCTGTATGAAATATATTCCACAAAGGTAGTACCGTCATAATATCATGTATTATGTCAAGTCTTCTACCAACTGGATATGCAATTAGCTTGATCCATTTCAGTTCATTTTTAATTTTGTGAACTGTTTAAGTATTTTGATTACATTTAATGCATATATCATTCTATTAGATATTGCCAAATTCTCTTTCATTGAGGCTGTAATATTTTGCATTCCCATCTGCAATATTTGAGGGTGCCAGTCTTTCCCTCAGTCTAAGTTCATTGGCCTATATTCCTAATTTAATGAAAAAATTCTGCAAAAAAATTTGGAGTATGAATAGCACCTTTTTCTTATTTTTTTCAATCATGCTCTACTCTTAGTTCCTTTTGGACATTTCAGTAAAGATTTGCAAGAGGAGCAAGTTACTCTTGTGGAATCAAAGTGCCAAATTTTCCCCCAGTGCCTGACATTTCCTTCTGATGGCACTGAGTCAAATAGACTAGAAGACATATAGTGTTTCTATTACCCAGGGAGAGCTTGTATACCCATGCAAATACTATACAAGATCAAGTAAATATTTAACAATGAAATTATGCTTCTTGATAATTTACATGTATAATTATTTGGCATGTTTTACTTACATTGGGGTGCTCTTGGTAGAATATAAGTTAGTTAGTAATGAAAGCATTGTGAATCAAGTTTGATGCCCAGGCTTGAAATCAGGAGTCTGAATCATCCTTCCTATTTCAATTAGCCTGGAATGAGATTTCAACCACATTGGGAATTACAAGTGTGAAGAAAACAGCAAAAACTATAACCTGCTGCTGACTTCCTCAAAGTGTGGAAATGAAATGAAACCCAAAATGGAAACTTGGGGATTATCTTTGTTCCCTTTGCTCTTATTGTCATTGTTTTTATACCTCCTTATACTTGCCCTGCTTTAATATATATTTTTCTATTTGATTTTCTTTGAAGGTTTGCTCTTTAAAAGAATCTTATCTATACATTTTAAAGTGATGAGTCTGATTATTGACGCAAACCAGCAAATACTTTCTCCTCTCTCTATGTCTCTGTTGAATAAATGGCATAAGGGGTGCCTGGGTGATTCAGTCAGTTAAGCACCCAGCTCTTGATTTTGGCTCAGGTCATGATCTCAGGGTCATGGGATAGAGCCCCAAGAACTGCTTGGGATTGTCTCTTTCTCTTTCTCTCTCTTTCAAAAGAAATAAGTAAGCAAGTAAGAAAATAAATAAATGGTTTAAAATTGATGACAATAAAAAAATTCCAGTATCAATAAAGGCAAACCTAAAACAAAGTTTCTGAGATATATGATTGTTTGGCTAAATAATTTTTCTAAATTTTTCTTTTTTTTTCAGTTCAATTGTATAGATTTAGAGTTGCAAGGGACTTTTGATATCTACTATTCCAGAAATTTTATTTAAAGATGAGGAAATCATTTGGCATGGAAGATTCTGGAAGAATAGTCAGTCTGATTTGCATCCGAGAAGTAGTTCATGATAGAATTGGGCTGAAGCAATTCTCCCAGTTTCTTAATTCAGTGTTCTTACTGGGAAATCTTGAGGTATTTACTATTTCTATTGTCATTGTAGCTGTTGTTAACAGGAAAAATTAAAGAGTAAAGGATTACTTAACTGGTGTTTTATGGAACCACTCTGAAGTCAGAGTTTGCAGACCAGTTTGACGCTAAGTAGTTGCCTTTGCTGTAATTCAGATGATTCTCACTATGCCTTCCCAGGAATCTATTTTATGAAGAGCTGAGGAACTTCCTTACAGACAGCTTCATTCTAAGAAGGAAAAAAAAAAAAAAAGGATTTTTAGGGTTGGTTCAATCATAAAACCTTAGCCTCAGCCTTAGCCTTAACATGAAAAACAGTTCTGAATTTAGCAAGGTGCTTGACATGTATGTAGATGAGTCTGCTGGCTTCACCTTATGGATTTATGCTTGAGTCTCTGAATAAATGGAAAGAACTACTCCATTACAGCTTGATGTGGTACTGGAAAAAATGCAGTTCTTTGGTAGCATTTTACTGGAGTGTGACACTGAAAAATGAAAGAAATTCTCTAGCTCTCCATATTGTGAAGCTTTGGCAGCTTGAGTCAGCGCTGCAGGGGAGAGGTGGTACCCAGAAGTGGCAGAACTTGGCAGCCATGTTGTTGTTACCCAATGAGATTGCTCTATCAGCAGGAGAAAGCAGTGTCTGCTGGGTGTGACTACATGCAGCCAAAAGAACAGTGATGCTAAATAGGAATGGTTATAATTCAACAGAAAGGAGAAGTGGAAGAAGGTGGGTAGTAAGGTTTGATTGGGTTTGTGAAATCTCCTAGAACCTCCATGAAATCTTTTGAGTTGGGGCTAGAGATGGGGAAGGAATTACTGAAGACTAAAGTCCTGCAGTATCCAGAGGGCAAGATTTTCATGGAAATAACTTAATTTCATATTTTATAAATGCCCAAAGTTCATTTTTATTTTGTAGTAGCCGATAGTATGAACAAGATACAGAAAAGGTCTTTCTCCTAACATTATATAATTACAGCAGAAAATGGAAGGCAGTTATTTTTACTTAATTAGTACAACTAGAGTTTTACTAAAAATAACTGAAATTTAATGAAACAGAGAAGATAAATGTACTTTGAGTTCTTTCAGTTTATCTATTCTTTGAGAATGCCAAATTTACTGAGGCAGAATACCTCCTAGCCTTATAATAGAGGTGAGTTTATAAATATATCACCACTCCTATTCTTTTCTCTTTTATCGTGCTTTAAATCATTCAGACTCAAACTATTTAAATTTTCTATCATGTCTGTACACTGATTTCAATAAAAATAACATTTTAAGAAGATGCAGTAAGAAAAGTGATAAGGAATAAAATAGTGGAGTGTAAAATAGTGTACCTGGAGCTTTATTTTTTTTTACATGAAAGTGACTTAAAAAGGGCAAATTGCTATCTATTGCTGTATAACAAAGCACCCCAAGTCTTCACAGCTTAAAAGAATAAAGACATGATCTCACAGTTTCTGGAGTCAGGGGTCTGGCATGGCTTGGCTGGGTTCCTCCTGCTCCAAGGTCTTTTGTAAGGCTGTGATCAAGATGTCCATTCAGCTTCAGTCATCTGGAGATTTGACTACAGGAGGATCCACTCTTGCAAGCTCACTTAAGTGGCTACGGGCAGGCCTCAGTCCCCTGCTTCAGAAACCCTCCCATGAGATTGTTTTATGATGTGGCAGGTGGTTTTTCCCACAGAGTAATCCAGGAGAAAGCAAAAGAGAGCAACCATGACAGAAACTACATTTTTTGGTAACCTAATCTTGGAAGTGACTCCGTCACCTCCACCACAATTTGTTAGAATTAAGTCACTAGGTCCAACCCAGATTCAAGAGGAGGTGTATGTTTATACACCAGGATGTATATATCAGTTGATGAGGATCTTTAGGGCCCATTTTGAGAAGCTGCCAACCACAGTCCCTAAGACAGGGAAATGGGTGAATCAGGGACTAGGTATTATGTTGATGAATAATGGGGCAATTTGAAATTTGGGTGCCCTAATTATCATTTCCCCTCACACTATCACTTTCTTTCATTGTTGAAATCATCCATATTTACCAGAACCCTCTCTGTTTTAAATTCTGTCATCTCTGTTCTAAATTCTGTCATCTCTGTTGTGGACAATGTTGATCGCTTCCTAAATGCTATAGAAGCAACTCAACTAGCAAATACTTCAGTTCATCTTTCACACTGTAACTAGTGATTTTTTGAAACACTAATCAGATCATCCACTATCCTTCAGCCCCACGTATTTTAAAGGTCCTTCAGTACACTCCTATTGTTTTTAGGACAGTAGACCAAAATTTTTAATGTGGCTTAAATATTTTATATGGCCTTTCCTTAACCCACCTCCTCAACCTCAAGTGACAGCAGTCTCCCTATAGGCTCTTTTCCAGCCACACAGTATGGGCCTCTAACCTTTCCTTGAACTGTCTTTCTTATCCCACGATTGGCATCTACACATGTCATTCTCACATGTCTGCCTGGGATGCTCTGTCTTCCTTCCCTGACCCCCCCTACTCCAACTCCTTTACCAATTATCTTTTACATCTGTAAGTGGAAATTTTTCCACCAGAGCAGCACTTGCCTGAATGACACAAAAATTAAATTTCATCATAACTAGCTCAAACCAGCTGAAACTTATAAAAATGATGAAACTTTGAATGACCTTGGTACACCAAATCCTTACTTGACCTAACTGAAGACTGATTACTGACCAACAAACTATGAGATTTTCTTTTTTTTTTTTTTGCCCAACCATGTATAGACCTTGGATTCATTCATCTTCTTATCCAGAGAGCTAGTTTTCAAGACTTAGCACATCACCAAGAATACCCCTGTCTAGCACTTAAAAATCTGTAACTTTTCCATGTCAGCAAATGACCCAGTGAATTTCTTCACTGGTATATCTTCTCTTGCTTTGTAAGTTAAATAAGATGCAACTTTGATCCTTTTTTTTTTCTTTTTTTAAAATTCTGGTGGTCTTCCTTTTATTCTCTAGCCCTTTACTTTAGAGCTCTCTAATTATGCAACTATGTGATAAATATCTTTCTCTGCTGCTAGACTTCAGGTTCCTAGGAAGTGGTAACTGTATTTACCATGGTATCCCCCAGCACTTGGCAAAATGCCAGTAAATAAATAGGCTCCTAACACATATTTGTTTAGTGGATGAGTAAATAACTTTCATTTTATGGCCTTATATTCTAAACCAAGAAAGTACATAGTATGAACTTTCTTCTTTTCTTTTCTTTCTTCTTTCTTTCTTTCTTTCTTTTTTTTTTTTTTTTTTAGTTGTTTAGGTCTTAGGTTTTCAGGCAACAACTGGCAATTTTAAAAAATCTAATAAAGACACATCTATCTTAACTGCTTGTTAGTTTGTGTTTACAAGTTGCAAAAGGCATGTAATGATTTGGAGAGGGTGATCTCTCTTCCCCTTCTCTCTGACATTACCAATAATGTGCTTGGCCAGCTGTGCAGTGCTGTCCATGTGTACAGAAATTCCTTTCTGAAAGGCACAGGTGATCATGTTACACCCTGAAGCCTGAGATCTGATTACTCTTATTATAGTAGCCTGAAAAGTTACAAATGTCATTAGTAGTCATTAAATTACTCTACTTGGCTTTCTAAAAGGAGCTCTGGTATTTGACTCAAGAGATCTCTTATGACTGTAAATCCCACATTTTGAACATGCATTTTCATGGGGCTGCATATTCTTTGACAGATCCTATGTATTATTGCTCTGAAAATGACTCTCAGTAATGAAAGTAGAACCTGAACCCAAGAATTCTAATGGAAATTCATGGAAATACAAGTCTTGGAATTAAGTGTGTGTGAGTATTCGCATGCCCAAATTGTCTTCTCCAACCCTTCTACTACCCCCTTCTTCTTTGCTGTGTTCAAGCAATTTAATTCTGCATCTAATTTTAATCTGTAAACCATATCCCTTCCTGCAGTTGTAAAGCATGTGTTAGCACTTAACCAGCAGGAGGGGGTTGCCTAAGGTAAGAGGATTGATAGCATAGACCAGGCATCTTAAAAATGGCTTTGTGTGATTTGGCGCCACTAGCTAAGTTAGCTTTGCGTGCATGGATCCAGTCTGTCTGTCCAGGGTTGAGAGAGATTCAGGCAGTGAATATAGTGGAATCTTTTATTCTTATTACTTGGTGTTGATTTTTCAGGAAAATTGGCCTAGGGAGAGGTGGTTTAAAGGAGTCTGAAGGCATTCACAATTGCTTTCTTAGAGGTAGAAGGAACAATAAGTGAATTTGTCTAAAGAAGGTGAGGACTTGGAAAATGTTGATTAAGACCCGTTAAAATGGGCGCCTGGGTGGCTCAGTTGGTTAAGCGACTGCCTTTGGCTCAGGTCATGATCCCGGAGTCCTGGGATCGAGTCCCGCATCGGGCTCCCTGCTCGGTGAGGAGCCTGCTTCTCCCTCTGACCCTCCCCCCTCTCATGTACTCTCTCTCTCTCTCTCATTCTCGTTCTCTCAAAAATAAATAAATCTTTAAAAAAAAAAAAAAGACCCGTTAAAATTATACTGAATTGTGATGGCATTGTGTAAAGTAAAAGAAAGGATTTGTACAATACAAATTTGGCTGCTAAGTAAATGCAATCTCTTCTTACTAGGCTATAATTTATAGCATTAGAAACTAAGAAAAAGCTGTTCATACACCCAGGATTTATTTTTAACTTAAGGTCAAGGGGAATGTTAGATTTTAAAGTTAGCATCTAGAATAAAAATCATGTATAACTAAAACAACCCTTGAAAATTCTTAAAACACATGTAAATTTCAAAATATGTGTTTCACTTGTGGTCAATGGTGGGAAAAAATTGTTGACATCATTCCCAAAACTTTTCCACCATTTTTTTCCTTACTTGCATTATCTTTTCAGATTTATTTGTATTTGTTGTTTAATATAAGGAATGCAACCCATCAGTGGTGGAGGTCTGAAGATAATTACTGTATTTCATTGACTTTAAGATGAGTCTTTTTTTTTTTCCATTTTAACATATCTGAAATTGAGATGTGTCTTATAATTGAGGCATTTTAAAATTATAATGATCAGGGTTTGTTCCTTCCTTCTTTTTTTGATATATTTATAAATTTATTAGTTTATTCCTTTATTATGTCTCACCCTCCCCAAAATGCAAGTTTCTGAGAATAGACACTTGTTTTCTGTTGTATCTCCAGTGTCTAGAATTGTTTCTGGCATAGAGAAGGCATTTAAATCCTTATTGG